ACAAGATGATCACTGAGCTCTACGCACAATTCAAGATACAGCACCACAACTTTTCTCCCTACCGGCCGAAGATGAATGGGGCTGTAGAAGCAGCGAATAAGAATATCAAGAAGATTGTGCAGAAGATGACAGTGACCTATAAAGATTGGCACGAGATGTTATCGTTTGCTCTTCATGGGTACCGTACCTCAGCAAGGACGTCAACCGGGGCAACCCCCTTTTCCTTGGTCTACGGCATGGAGGCAGTCTTGCCGATTGAAGTCCAGATACCCTCTCTCTGGATAATGAAGGATGCAGGCTTGAGTGAAGATGACTAGATCCAGACTCGACTTGATCAATTAAACCCAATCCACGAAAAGAGACTCACTGCTATATGTCATGGTCAAACGTACCAAAAACGGATGATCAGGGCATTTAACAAGAAAGTCAGACCACAAGAGTATCAAGTCGGAGACCTGGTAATCAAGCGCATCGTTCTTCCTCAAAGTGATCCCAGGGGCGAATGGACCCCCACGTACGAAGGGCCATTTGTGGTTAAACATGTCTTCTCAGGAGGAGCTATGATTCTAACCACCATGGATGGTGACGACCTTCCTCACCCTGCCAATGCAGACATAGTAAAAAGATACTACGCATGATAAAAGACCCGCTAGGTTGACATACCTAGGCAAAGTAAGGGCTTCCCGGCGAACCAAAAGGGTTCGGGCAAAAATAAGGGATGAAATGAAAAGAAATCTGTACACCCGGCAAGTCGAAAACCTGAAAAGGCGGCTTGGGCAAAAATGGGTATCCCGGTGGACTGAAAATCCGAAAGGGCGGTCCAGGCAAAAGTTAGGGATAAGCGTAATACTATGTCTCATTGGATCACCCTGCATCCAGAATTCGACATCAACTATCAAGTTCAGACGGCATCGATCAATCAGTTTCATCGTCAACTGAGTAGCAAAGTGATGAGACGCTTGAAGACATAAAGGCGATAGCAGAGTTGAAACCCAGTGGGATTATTTTTCACATAGCTGTTTTGTTTTCCTTGTAAAAATTGTATAAACTCTATTCTATTCGGCGGCGTTCTCTTACTAGGACGTCAGCCTCTTGTAAATAAACGCCTATTTACATGCAAATTCAAAAATCAATGCAAATTCACTCTTTAGACCAATTGCCAATTGTTTTTCCTTTTTCTGTTTTGTTTTGCAAAGAACGTCCAATGTTCAATTGTGATATATGCATTTGACACTAATGGCTAACTCATAAATATTTGCATGCAAAACAAAGGACTAATTACAGGTGACATCAGAAACAGGGGCAATAATGAGTTGTCTAAGCGATCTAGTTGCTCTGTCCACCAAGGTACCAAGGTAGGTTCAGCTGAAGAACGATCAGGATACCTTCACTCCCCGTAGAATAAGTCAGGACTCAACAATACTCCCTGAGCAGAGTTGGTCTCCCAATCAGCCCTACAAGGAACAGTATCTCCAGCAAGTCAGCAACACTCTCCCCAAGCAGAGTTAGCCTACAGTCAACCTTAAGGAAGTTGGGTTTTCCCCAGAAGATCTCAAACATTCCCCAGCGGAGTATACAGATGTTCCTAAACAAGCATCCCCGGCAGTCTTAATATAAGATTGTTCCCCGGCGGAATTCAGGACACCCCAGTGGAGCCACTCCCCAGTACAGTCTCAAAAGTCTCCCCAGGAGAGTTGGATCAATCTCCCCAGTAGGAAGCTTATCCCCAGTAGATTCTGGAAGCTATCCCCTACAGAGCACGAACGCGTCTCCCCGGGCTTTATTCAAAGGTTATGCTCCACCGGAGCTTATAACTGGGTTATCCTCAGCTAATTGCCACGGAAAGATCGTCCTCGGCGAAGTTCTTCCTATCCCCCAGCGGAGTTCATCAAGTCTTCCAACATAACATATCAACGGTATCCCCAGCGGAGTTATCATCAAACCTCAGCGAAGTATCTCTTCCCACGGAGTATTCCCTGCAGAGTAATCTCTTCGCCAAGTTTATTCCCCAACGGAGTCACCTTCTCCTACCGGTTTATTCTTGCAATCTCCAGCGGGAACGAAGAACGCTACCCTTCAGCATCAGCCCAGGATTCAACTTCCAGGAACCCGTCAAGGATTTACTTTCCTAGACAAAAATACGCTCATAAACGTCACATCTTCATACATTATAGCATGCATATACGCATCATGGACATACAATCTCATTTATTTTGAGAACATCACGCATTTCATACATCATGACATCGCATACAACTAATGTTTTGTCTTTTCAGGACAAAGGTCAATCCAAAGATAATTACTATCAACTTCCGCAATTCCAGATTCGATACCTGTATCTAGCCAGGGCATGTCTGTGAGCGATCAATTCCAGATTCGATTCCTGTATCCAGCCAGGGCACGTCTGAAGAATTTCCATATTCGATTCTTGTATCCAGCCAGGGCACGTCAGAAGAGTTTGAAGATTCGATTCCTGTATCTAGCCAGGGCATATCTGTTGACGACTATTTTCCAGATTCAATTCCTGTATCCAGCCAGGGCATGTCTGAAGAGTTTGAAGATTCGATTCCTGTATCCAGCCAGGGCATATCTGTTGACGACTATTTCCAGATTCGATTCCTGTATCCAGCCAGGGCACGTCTGAAGAGTTTGAAGATTCGATTCCTGTATCCAGCCAGGGCATATCTGTTGACGACTATTTCCATATTCGATTCATGTATTCAGCCAGGGAACTTCTGAAGAGTTTGAAGATTCGATTCCTGTATCCAGCCAGGGCATATCTGTTGACGACTATTTCCAGATTCGATTCCTGTATCCAGCCAGGGCACGTCTGAAGAGTTTGAAGATTCGATTCCTGAATCCAGCCAGGGCATATCTGTTGACGACTATTTCCATATTCGATTCTTGTATCCAGCCAGGGCACGTCTGAAGAGTTTAAAGATTCGATTCCTGTATCCAGCCAGGGCATATCCGTTGACGACTATTTCCAGATTTGATTCCTGTATCTAGCCAGGGCACGTCTGAAGAGTTTGAAGATTCGATTCCTGTATCTAGCTAGGGCATATCTGTTGACGACTATTTCCAGATTCGATTCCTGTATCCAGCCAGGGCACGTCTGAAGAGTTTGAAGATTCGACTCCTGTATCCAGCCAGGGCATATCTGTTTACGACTATTTCCAGATTCGATTCCTGTATCCAGCCAGGGCACGTCTGAAGAGTTTGAAGATTCGATTCCTGTATCCAGCCAGGACATATCTGTTGACGACTATTTCCAGATTCGATTCCTGTATCCAGCCAGGGCACGTCTGAAGAGTTTGAAGATTCGATTCCTGTATCCAGCCAGGGCACGTCTGAAGATTTTGAAGATTCGATTCCTGTATCTAGCCAGGGTATATCTGTTGACGACTATTTTCCAGATTCAATTCATGTATCTAGCCAGGGCACGTCTGAAGAGTTTGAAGATTCGATTCCTGTATCCATCCAGGGCATATCTGTTGATGACTATTTCCAGATTCGACTCATGTATCCAGCCAGGGCACGTCTGAAGAGTTTGAAGATTCGATTCATGTATCCAGCCAGGGCATATCTGTTGACGACTATTTCCATATTCGATTCCTGTATCCAGCCAGGGCACGTCTGAAGAGTTTGAAGATTCGATTCCTGTATCCAGCCAGGGCACGTCTGAAGAGTTTGAAGATTCGATTCCTGTATCCAGCCAGGGCATATCTGTTGACGACTATTTCCAGATTCGATTCCTGTATCCAGCCAGGGCACGTCTGAAGAGTTTGAAGATTCGATTCCTGTATCCAGCCAGGGCATATCTGTTGACGACTATTTCCAGATTCGATTCATGTATCCAGCCAGGGCACGTCTGAAGAGTTTGAATATTCGATTCCTGTATCCAGCCAGGGCACGTCTGAAGAGTTTGAAGATTCGATTCCTGTATCTAGCTAGGGCATATCTGTTGACGACTATTTTCCAGATTCAATTCCTGTATCCAGCCAGGGCACATCTGAAAAGCACCAGGTCAAGTTTCAAGTTTCAAGGCTCACCAGGTCAAGTTGCACAGTCAAAAACCCTAATTGCTCCACAGTCAGCTGTAGGGGCAAAATGGTCATTTGGCAGTCAAAAGTCAAAATTTTTGGTCAACATCTTATTTTGAAGCCACAATCATCATTTGGTCAAGCCTTGACCATGATTCCACAAGAATGGCTCAAAAATCATCAAGATGCAAAAGTTTCTATTTTTGGACAGTTGAAAAGTCAACTGTAACTTAACCAAGGCATAACTTTTTCATGGTTCATCAGAAAAATCCCATCCAATGCTTGTTTTTAAGGGGAGGACATTTCCTACAATTCATATTCATATTCCAAGTCCAAGAAATGCTCTCACAAAAAGTTATCAATTTCAACATTATAAGTCATTTTCAAAAGTCAACAAAAAGGCACTTTAAGTCAAAGACCATAACTTGAGATTGGTAAATCAAAATGACATGGTACCAAAGGCATTGGTTAGAGAACTTCAAGACCTTTCCAAAATGTCCAAGAACATGTTCATAGCTTCAAAATTGAGCAAGATATGCATTGGAGAAGTTGGGAAATTTTTGTGAAAAGGCCAAAGTCAACTATCCTTGAAATTTCATTTTTGACAAAAAGGGCCCACTTTTTCCACTTGGTTCAACTTTGCCATGCCTCCCACGTGTCCCACAATTTATTTCAAGATTAAAAATTATTTTTTCTATTTTTATTTAATTTTATTTGATTTAATTCATTTTAAATCTTTAAAATTCAAATAAAAATCAAGAAAATTAATTAAGGGATATATTTTGTGTTGAATAGCTTTGATACACCATGAAACATATTCCAAATTCGTGTAAGGCTTATTTCAAGCACAAAATTCAAAATTGGACACAAAAGGCAAGTTTTCTTCAATGGAGTTTATGACAAAATCAAAAGCATAATTGCATTGGTTTATTGTTCATTATATTGATGGATACTCATTCAAAACCTTATATGCAAGCTTTGGCAATACAATTCACGACCTAAAAAAGCTCCATACAAATGAAACTCATCATCATGAAACCATAACATTGTCACTGGCAGTAAAAAAAAAGCTTCATCTCTACACCATGACCTTGTGAAATTTGAACAAAATTCGACAACCTGCAAAAAACAAAATAACAACTCTTAGATTCAAAAGAAGGGAAAACCAGCAAATTCAAGAACGCCGATCATCCAGCTCCGACGTGCTCCGACGGTCGCACCACCTACACACCGTGGTTACAGCCGCTTTCAAAAATCTTGTCGGAGATCTATACTTCATCCACCGTCGGATCTCGCCGAAGCTCGCTTTCGACGCGATTTACACCCGCGACCACCGAAGCCCTCACACCTCCTCTAAACCTTCACCCAGCCACCCGGATCAGATCAGACCGCCGCGGCTCCGCCTCGTTCACCGCTTAGGGCCGCCGTAAGATCTTGTACAGGTAAGCTTCATTTTTGCCATGTAATTGCATTGCTGTGTCATTTTTATGATTCATTATGTAGGGTCCAAAAATGGTGAAGAATTGTTTTTTTGGGTCCCTGTGCACATGCGGAAGAAGAAAGAGAGGAAGAAATTGTTGCTTGGGTCCACTTTTATCTCTTCCTTTTCATTCCTAATGGATTTTATTTTCTTTTTTTACAATTATTGTCACGTTTTGTAAGCGGTCGCGGGATTAATGCGGAACATTATTTATTGTGGGAAAAAAACGTTCCACCATACATCTCCACTATCCAGGCGCCAGGTGTTCACTAACCCAGATCCAAAGGTCATGAGGCGCTGTCCACTCTATCCCAGGTCAAAGCATGCTGTAGGAAATGGCAAAAGGGTCAACGTGGCTGAAGGTTCATGGGCCTCACAATTCCATATGCACCCTCCAATCTGGCCCAAAACCCCCCTTGGGTTTGCAATTTTTATTTTTTCATTTTTTATATTTTATTTGTGTTATTTTTATTTTTCCCTTTTATTAACTATTAACATAACTAATATTTTTCATAAAAAAACCAAAAAAGAACTAACATCATTATTATTATTATTATTATTTTATTTTGTAAATAAACATTAATTGAAATAGTTTAATTAGGCAATTTTAACTTCTTTTCTTAATAATTAAAATAGATTTAGAATTAGGTAAAATTAACTTTTAATTTTATTTCTTTTTTTTTATTCCATAAAAAACATAAAAAACACAAAAAATATTTTCTTTTAATAAATTAATTAATTAGTTTAATTTATTAGTTTTTAATTTCATTTAATCAACAAAAAGACAAAAAAAAATCAATTTCTTTTCTTAAAAGGGTCAACACCCTTAGAACATTTCCGATTTAATTTTTATTCGCGCATAGTTTATTATTATGTAATTGCTCTCAAGATTGTAATAGTAATTAGGTTTATTGTTTTTATTTACTTTCCGTACTTATTTACCAAAAACGGGTCTTTGTATTTTTGGCGATGTATAGACCCGCGCCTTGTAATAGCGTAGGATTTATGTTTCCGCAATTTACTTTCCGCACCCCCTAACTGTTAAGTGCATGAAAGAATGTATGGTAAATAAAAACAACTCGTAGCTCACTAATTACAAAGACAAACATTAACTGAATACAACACACAAAGCACATGCCACTCTTAGGGTACGCTTCACTCGTTGCCTCGAAACGTGGTCATCAAGTATAGGACGTCTTAGAGGTCGCCCTTTGTCTAAAGATCCAGTTGCCTCGAAATGGTTGCCTCGGATAAAAGGATCTAGGACATTAGGGTTACTTCTAAGGTGTACTACCATTGCTTTGGTGACCACACTGTCCCGATAATCGAATTGACCCGAACACCTCCAACGATGGTGCTACCTACCTCTCAATGGTGGGATAGCACTATCTAAAGGACTCTTACAAAGCTTAATTTCTTAGGGTAGGTAGACTTCTCTTAAGTACTTGCTCTTTTCAAACAAACAAAAACATACTTTTCACACCTCACACTTTCAAAAGTTTTCAAACAAAACACTTCATACACTCTTGAGGACTGATACAAGAGTTACTTAGAAGTTTTTTCCAAACGAACTTTTTCAAAACCCACACACACTTGAAAAGCAAACAAATTTTGAAAACATAAGAGCAAGTACCTAAGAGCCTGTGGATAACCACGGATAGAAAGGGTGCTAACACCTTCCCTTTCTATAAATCTACCTCCCGAACCGAGAAACGTTCTCAATAAGGAATTTTGCTGTGCTTTTGTCCTTTCCATGTTGGAGAATATAAAAGACGGTGGCGACTCTTGCTTACCGCGACATTTCGCGAAACCAGCACTAAAAAACAGCCAGTTCTATTTCCACTGATCACACCATGCCTTGATACGAATTTGATTTGATGCTAGCTGTTTAATAAGACCTGAAACAAGCACAAAATCTTTTGTTATCAATATTTTGGATTTTATATGATTTGTTTTGATTTAAATTAAATTAATTCAAATAAAAATCAAAATAAATAATAAAAACATGATAAGGACAAGTGGCAAGGGCTAGATCTCGTGGACTATGTTGCCAACTCAAAACAAGTGAAAAAGATTGGGCCTATTTGGCAAAATTTGAAGTTTTAGGCATAGTTGACTTTTGGCAATTTTGCAAAAAGGGTCAACTTCACCAATGCATAACTTCCTCAATTTTGACTCTTTGGAGGTGTTCTTGGACTTTTTAGAAATCTTTAGATGTCCTCTAATCAACCCTTTTGGTCTCATCTTAATTTTATATTCCATGCTCATGTATGAAGCTTTGACAAAAAAGGTGTTTTTGTTAACTTTTCAAAATGACCTATAATGTCCAAATTCACAACCTTGTGAATGCATATTTTGAACTTGGGAGCTGAAGATGGATTGTAGACCATGGCATCCTATTCAAAATGATATTTGGATGGGTCATTTCTCATAAAGTATGAGAACGTTATGCTTGGTCAAAGTTGAGTTGACTTTTCCTACAAAACCCTAATTTAGCAACTTTTGAGTCTTGACGAATTATGAGCAATCCTTGATGAATCATGATCAACCCTTGATCAAATGATGAAATATACTTCAAAATGAGGATGTTGACCAAAAAATCTTAAAGTTTGACTGTATGTGGGCCACAGTTGACTTTTGCCCTAGCACAGTCGATTTTTGGGCCTTTGAGCAGTTGACTGAGCAAACTTCCTCTGTAGGGCTTGAAACTTGACATGGATGATCTTGAGAACATATTAGGACATTGGTGAGAATTTGGGATCCCTTGGACTCAAGTATCTTGATGCAACATGAAACCCTAATTTGAGGTAGACTGCCTTAGGAGAGAGCTTGTCTGGTCAACCCTTGGGCTACTTTGAGCAACTTGGGGATCTTTCTTGAAATGTTTTGAGAAATAGGGGAGGGAAAATTTTGGGGTACAACAGCTGCCCCTGTTCAATCTTCTTAAACCTGAGGATGTAGATTGGCTTTCGTGCCTTTCGTGGTCCGAAGGTGGAAGATGATTGAACACTAGAGTGCCCAGAAATTTGCACTCGCATGAAGTGGTGTCCATCTTGTGATATCGGGAATGGGATTACAGATTCCATTTGGAAATTGCTGATGAGGGATGGGCTTAAAGATTCCATCCGAAGGAGTGTCAATCGCATAAGAGATTCCTTAGCGGGAGCTTCTATACCTGTTGTTGAGGAAGATTCTGTTGGGGAATGTTGGTCTTTGTTGGGAGAAATAGAATATTATGAGCTTTAGTCGTCCTTTATTTTTATGGTGAGTCGTCTCTGTTTGAATTTTAGGAACTTTGGCCGTCGGTTATTCTACCTAGGAAACATCTCTGTTGAATTTTAGGAACTTCGGTCGTCCGTATTCTATTGAGGAAACATCTTTGTTGAATTTTAGGAACTTCGGTTGTCTGTATTCTACTGAAGAATCATCTCTGCTGAATTTTAGGAACTTCGGTTGTCTGTATTCTGCTGAGGAATCATCTCTGCTGAATTTTAGGAACTTCGGTCGTCTGTATTCTGCTGAGGAAACATCTCTGCTGAATTTTAGGAACTTCGGTCGTTTGTATTATGTTGAGGAAACATCTCTGTTGAATTTTAGGAACTTCGGCCGTCCGTATTCGACTGAGGAAACATCTCTGTTGAATTTTAGGAACTTCGGTCGTCCGTATTCTGGTGAAGAATCATCTCTGCTGAATTTTAGGAACTTCGGTCGTCTGTATTCTGCTGAGGAATCATCTCTGTTGAATTTTAGAAACTTCAGTCGTCCGTATTCGACTGAGGAAACATCTCTATTGAAGAGGAAAGTTGAATTTTAGGAGCTTCGGTCGTCCGTTATTCAACTGCGGATTAAACTATTATCCAGTCGTACCCGGGCTTCACAACTTGAATTTTGTGAGAATTTGATTGTATCTTTCCTGAAAGGTAAATGTTAGCTGTATGTAATGCATGATATGTATCAAGCAATGATGTTCTCAAAATAAATGAGATTGTGTTTGTATAATGTGTATATGCATGTGTCATGATGTATGGAAATGTGATGTTTTTAGTTGGGGAAAATAAATCCTGGATTGCTATTGGAGTAAAGAGTTGAATTCTCCGTTTCCATTGGGGATAGCGAATGAAGATGATTGTGAGAATAAACCTGCAGGAGAAGATAACTCCTCCAGGGAATAAACTGATGAGGAAATAACTCTGGGGAGAACATATTATGTCGGAGGGTCTGTTGATTTGGAGAAATAACCTCGGCTGGGGATGAATTGTCATTGCCGGCGATGATAAACTTTGTTGGGGATTGAGTTTCTGTTTGTAAAAAGGAATGAACTCCACTGGGGATGATTTTCCAATTGCGACTTCACTGGGAATAATCTTTTAGACTCTACTGGGGACCATCTTCCAGAGTATACTGGGGATAATTCTCCAAACTCCACTAGGACTAATCTTCCAGTGCTGGTGATAAATAAACTCTGCTTGGGGAGAATATTGTTGATTCATTCGCGGTTGCGAGTCTCAGCTGGGGAGAATTAACACCACGGTCTTTCTCCCTACTCAGCGGGGAATGAATGTACTTTCAATCATTTTCTCCAACTAGGTCTATCCCTATACCTGGTGGACAGAGCAACTATACAGTTTGGACATTTCTTATTTGCCCCTGTTTCTGATATTACGAGTAATCGTCTTTTGTTTCGCATGTAAATATTTTGGAGCAGCCATTATTGTCAAATGCATATATCAAAAATGAACCATTGGACGTTCTTGCAAAACAAAACAGAAAAAAGAAAACAATTTGAAATTTCTTTGTGG